ATATATATATATATATTGTCTGAGGAAGCTAGCCAAAATCAGGTCAAACATTCAATACATCGAGCACAACACTTTTGAGGGAGAATGTGTCTAGAAGATGATATAGTTAAGAGAAGAGATTACCGATGTTTTAATAAACACAACAACTGTATCTATGTAGCATCACCTACTTATTTGTTGTTGATTATTCATATCTTAGCTATACGTTGTATCCGTGGATGTATATTTTTAAAATTTTTGTATCAATTTGTATTGTAGATTTCCTTATCGATAACCTTTTATTTTAATTTTAAAAGTTTTTTTTTATATTTCTATTGCATATCTGTTTTTTTTTAATTGAAGCTATAGTGTATTATTATAATAGAAAATATGAGTTCAAAAGCATTAGGTACTTCGAGAGTTCCACTATGTCATTATGGCGATAGGTGTATTCAGCATCAATCAAGAAGAAAAGACAATTATGGGAGAAGATTTTACTATTTTCCTAGAAACATGACTCTCAAAGATTAAGAGTATTTCCGTTGGGTTGATGACACTCATGAATTCGCTCCAGACTCCAGACCATGATCGGGTGAGAAGAGATGCTGTCATGGAGAGGAGATTGTCCGAAAGACTTGATCATGAAGACTTGGAAAATGAACGTCATTCTAGGCCTGCTGGTTACCGTAATTGTCATCATCATTATAGTTATATGCTTTAAATAATTGATAATTTGAATGAATTAGAGAATTTTGCATTGTAGTGATGTTTTTTTTTTTAATTAGTTTGAAAATTGAACTTATTCGAACATATTACATATATATAAGAGTAAAACAAGACTTTCTCATAAAAAATAACAGCAACACAACAGATCTCCCAAACAAACTCCTATTTCTATAGTAGCAATTTTTTGTTATTTATTGTAATTATTCTAAAACTGTAATTATTCGAATATATTATATATATAAGAGTAAATCAGACTTTCTCATCAGTGACAGACAACACAACAAATCTCTCAAACAAACTCCTGTTTCTCCATCAGTAGCATTCTAACAGTTCCTGAGAAGCTGCTCCTCCAGAAAAACAACTTTGTAACTGTTTATTAAAAAAACAATGACCGCACTGACGCATCCTAAAAAATAAAAGTATTAGAGTTTCAATAATATATCACATTTCATTTTGGAAGAAGTGCATGCATAACACAAAATTTTATATTATTTACATATGAATAATAAATGTAAATTTTAATATTTATAGTAATTTATGTATGCAAGAAAATTTTTGAAGTTAATAATAAGACTTAAAATACTTGAAAATTGTCAATGTATTAAAACATAGATGTAGCTATAAATATATGCAACGCTTGCACGGCGCTTATACCGGCAAACCTCGATGACCTCATGCGGCGGCAATGGTGGCGGATCGTGCCAATCTCTCTGCCATGAAACTAAATACGACGAACTCCTGCCGCAACCACAGCCGGCAGCACAGGAAGATGATACTCGAGATAGGCTTGGTTCCAAGGGGGATCAACTCCTGTGCTCTAAGTGCGGGGAGGAGAAATCGGCTTGGAGCGGTCTCTGCTTGGCATGCTTTCGTTCCTCCCTTTACGGAAAGTTTAAGCTCGCCGTCACCTCGAACGCCATGATTTCTCCAAGCGACAAGGTCCTCGTCGCCTTCTCCGGTGGCCCCGCCTCCAGGTCTCGCTTTCACGTTCTCTCGCTTATTGCTTTTGATTCCTTGATCCAATTTGGGCATGGAGGATTTTTGTGTCGAAAAATGCTTTTAAATTTGAGTTGAAAATCGAGTATCAGAGCGAGATTGGAAGCGTTTTTTTCGATTAGACCTTATCCTGCTTATTGCTTTTAGTTACTTGATCCAAATTGTGCGAAAAAAACTCTAAATTCGATTTGAAGATAGAGAATCAGAAATTTTTTCCTTTGGTCTCATGTGGTAAATCATAAACTTGCTAGGCTATGCTTGGTTTATATATGAGAAAGCGATGTGAGCGTAGTGTCACGGACAAATAGTCCTCACGGACAAATAGTCCCACATTTGTAGTGCCGAAAAGCAGTATTTAAGTCCTGGGCTGCCCACCACCCACAAGGGCTCTTTTGGGAGGTGACAGTAGGGTGTCAATTCATGAAGAAGGGTAGCAATGAGAGAATTAATTGGTTAATAAAATTTAGGTGTTCTTAATTTTGGCTTTTGTTTGTTAGGCTTGGGACATGTTTTTTCATTTTCATTTGATTGGATGTTAAGGTTGTTTTGGCTTCAGGACAATTGACATGCTTTAGTGATTGCAATTATTTGGCTATAATCATTGGGGGGATTTGATATATTGGTTATGTTATTGAAGGGAAAGGCAATGTAAAAGCTAGTAAATTCAAATTCTTTTTTTCCCAGCAGCCTTAGTCCATCCCATAAATTTCCGAGTAGGTTTGTTATGACGTTGAGGTCACCAAGTTCGGGTTGACCAGACAATATATCACTGCTTGCATGGTTGCCCTAAGGTGCATAAATGTGCCTTCCGTGCAGCCAACTGTCTGTTTTTGTTTGAAACAAACAATGACTTTTAACTTCCAGCTCAGATGCACAGAAGAGTCACGAAGTACTCGAGCAAATCAATCTCTCTTTTCTATACGAGATTTCTCTTCTCTTGTTTGTCGTCTTTGTCGTGCTTGGAATTATTGGTAAACCCAACAATCCAATGTTAATCCTTAACATTAAGTTCTCTCTTTGATTGACTCGTCTCCCTCCCTCATTTTGCATCAGTCTATGGCCAAGAACACTCAGGCCGTCAAAATGGCGAAGCACATCACAACAACCAAAGAAAATTTTGTTGAACAAAAGTGAAGCAAGATCAATTTTCCATGGAACATGAAAACAAACCCCAAAAACCCCTCGTTGATAGTAGCACGTTGGAGCTTATGTCGCCACTTCTTTGAAAACATTGCACATTATTATTTTGAGGTGTGACTATAGTAACTTAAAAATCTGCATTTAGAAAATTAAGCCTTTTTATCAGTATCGCTTCACACACATTGATGAGTAAAAGCTCTTGCTTCATTTCATATGAATGATCCAAATGGAGAGTTATATCTTTCCCTAACAAAAATGAAATGCTTATCCTTAAAGTTTGAATTTCTCATTGCTCTTCTCACACTTTTTGAACCCTAAAATATCATGATCTATGAGAACTTGCCAAACTCTTGCAATCTTTAGTAGTTGCAGAGTTTCAACCTTGATTCATGATATTATCAACTAGATTACTATCGATGAACTCTTCTCGTACAGTTGCTTTGAATTTGATTTGCAACCAACCATCTGGAAAAAAGGCCATCTTCACTGACCAATTTCCCTCGATAAAGCAAATGAACTAACAAAGTTTATCAAAGATAAATTCAATTGGTAAACCCAATTTCACTTTAGCTTTCCAGCAATCGCTCTAACTGCTCTCCTCTCTGCTCCATCCAAACCTACTATATCTAAACTACCTTTTTTCATTTAAAAAAAAATTGTCACCAATTGAAATTATTGAAAACTGAGAGAGAAGATTATGCTAAAATTGCAAAATACAATCGCGCTTGCAAAGGCAAACTATTTTCTTTGTTGTTTGAACTTGATAATGATCTACCTGAATCTTCCTTTAAAATTATCCAGCTATCCGAAAATGGTGATTCTACTACTTTAATCCTCTTATGGATAATTCATAAATCAGGATGCATGCCATCAGTGGACAACTAACCTCACTTAACTTTCACAATGACAGACTAATCCTGAAAACATATGTGCAAGTGCTAATTAAAAGCAATTCTACACATAATTTCATCCAGCAGCGGCCCACTGAATTTCTCAAGCTTCCATTACCCTCCACAGCACCATTTCATGTTCTGGCCATCAATGGTGACAAACTTGAATTTAAAACCGAATGCCTGAATAATCCTCAATTACTCATGGCAACCATTTAATTATGAACTTCTTCATAGACCCATTCAAGGAGTCATCTTGTCGTCAATGTCCAATCACTTCAACATTTAGGTAACCTTGTTATGAATTATAATTGTTTTGACTATAAGTTTTGCTGAGTAGAGAAAACCTATAACCCTCAAAGGCAAAAATACCATTGGAGAGATAGATGAACAACCGAGTTAAGACATAGATGAGCTGGAAGGGAGATCAGAGGGGGATTTTCCTTAGCTCTAATGAGTGGAAGGTCAGAATCTGATCAGACCTGACTAGATTGGAGAGAGAGATTCTGTTTACATTTAAGGCCCCATATTTATAGGGGTTGGCTTCTATAAAATGACTTTAGGTCTATATCGTCATTAGGCCTTTATGCACAAGTAGCTGTAAGGGTCACATCCCCACTAAAGTTGTGGCCTTGGAGAGATCCTCTTCTAGTTGACTTCTTTGCTGAACTGGGAGTTTCTCTATCTCTAGTGATTCTAGTATTTGAACCTTCATACTGGGCTTATCGTACTCGTCTCTCCGTACTCGGCTTATGAGTGCTTTTTTGACTTTATTCAGTTGCCTGACATTCTGAATTGACTTTTTGGTAGTCCACTTCAACATTCATCCGCCCGAGTAGCTTCTGTTGATGGATGGGCTGAGGGCTGTTTGATCCCCACTGATCTAAGTAGCCACTTTTGGTCATAAAATTTTATTGTTTTTTATGCGCTTCTAAAAGAATTTCAACCTCAAGGTTTTCATTTAGTTATTTTTTAAAGTAATATTTTCATCTTTCTTGAACCTGTATCTTTAATCAATATTTTATTATCATTATTTAATGGATTTAACCTGATCAAAATTCTTAGATCTATTTTTGTATTGGTTTTTTTATATATCTCATTTTTCCTTTTTTTTAGCTTTAAGTTTATTATATAAAATATCAAAAGTTACCACATATTATATAAATCATAAAAAATTATAGTTTTTAGCTTTACCTATGATACTTTTTACAATAAATTTTTTTTACTTACTTTAAATTTGAATACTATTTTATTTTTTTCTTCTTTAAAATGCACATTTCTATTCATTATTAATTTTTTGTACCTCTTTCTCCACCACCAAATCTCTTTATTAGTGTATGTTTTAACAAGCTTAAGAATTAATCACAATTTTAATAATTACAAATATAATTTGGCTAATGCTAATAAATATATTTAAGATGGTGCATGTGCTAGCTCAGTCTATTCAGAAGGAGCTTGATGAAAATATATGTATCAAGCACACTCAGATATGATTATGACCTAAATAAAACTAATAGTCAAATAAACTTAAATGCATTAAATGGATCATTTTAAAAACCAATCATTAACAAAAATACTTTTATTTAAATTTTTTCAGCCAAATTATTGTATTAAAAAGTTTTGATGGAGCTTAGACTGACTTGCAGACTCTCTCATATCGTAATCCGTGTTAAGTTAAGAGTTAAATTAGCTAATCTAAAGTAAATTCGATGTCATTTGATCTATTCGTGGATCGTACTGGTATATATGATCATGCATCTACTATAGCACTTAAGCGAATTTATTTGAATTAAATTCAAAATTTTAGAATTATGCTATTGCACATAGTCAAAATTATAATCTTTGGCTAATCATGCTTTCACCCCCAACCAGACTTCCAGTAATCATTCTCAGAATTTGTTATAATCTTCTGCTTAACTTAACGTAAAAATGGTGAGGAAGATTAAAAGAATCAAAGTTAAAGAATACCCCGATGATTTTTTCTTAATTAGATCTTGTATTCTGGTTAATCTGAAAAATATATATATAATTTAATTTGTGAAATAAGATTTCTTAGTCATAATCATTGATTGGAAGTCTCGGGCGTTAACTCAGGTATAGGGTTTAGGGTTTTATTTTATAATTATTTGAAAAAATTAAACATGCTGGAGCGCTGTGAATTCTCTGTGAAGGAAAACATTCCTGAAATATTCTCTGGCAACAATTTGTCTTTTTTATGTTATCTCAACTGTAATCGTGATGTCATTCATTCAAATTATGGCAACTGATCTCTGTAATGTTGGAATCACAGCAGCTGATCCCTGAAATGTTTGCGTCATATATACAGGAGGGTTCTTCAATTTGTAAACCCTTTTGGTACAAATCAAACTGCTTAATTGCGTTGTAGCTGCTCATGAACTTGTCTTATACATGGACTTGTGTTCTTATGTGCATTATTTTCTAGGGGAATTCGCATACCTAGCACACAATGCTTATGTAGTTATATATCTCACACCTAAACTTTCAGATTTATATATATAGCACTTTGGTGCTTTGAACCAATGCATGAAAAAGTGTATCTCACTTTTAAAAAGTGGTAATAGTGCTATGTATGTAAATGCCCCTTTTTTATTCACAAAATTAAAACATGTGTTGTTCATTACCTAGTCTAGTTGTCTGATGATTTTTTGTCATGACTCAAGTCATGTGCAATACTTGAAAAAGTACTAACAAAGCTCTATCCGAGAAGTGTTAAGAATAACATTTTGAAGTTTTGCTGCAAACATGTGTATGTTATGATAACTTTCCATATTTTATTTCTTGGTAACTGGGTTAACTTCTTCAAGTTGAATTCGACAAGTTTTAGATGTTAAATTTCATTCCTTCTTGTTACAGAGTCGCTCTACAGTTTACTCATGAGCTACAATGTAAATCTTTAAAGAACTGGGATGCAAGTAAATCTCAAGGCTTACCAGTATTTGGCGTAGGGGTCGCTTTTGTTGATGAAAGCTCGGTTTCTCCTAATTCATCGAATGTTGTGTCCAACATATTTGAAGAAATAAATAGCATTGTATCTGAAATAGCTCCTGCTCAGAAAACGCTGCATGTGATGGCTATTGAAAGTCTTTTTTGTAAGGATTTTGATGATGGAAGGAGGTGTCTTAATGAGTTGTTGGATGGTATTACAGATGTTACTGGGAGAGAAGATTTCACGCAAAGTCTGCGCATGCTTACTTTACAAAAGGTTTTTTCTCAATTGCTTGAGGGCGTTTGGGATCACTTTTGATTTTTGTGTTTTATTTTATTTTACTTATAATTTTAATTGAAATAAAACATATTTGATATTAAAACTTATTTATTTGTTTTTAAAAACACTCAAAATAGCTTATTTTGGATCACTTTTGTTTTTTGTTTTTCTTTTTTATTTTGTTTTTATTTTGAAAATATATTTGTTTTGTGCATTTTTACATGTTTTTATTTTTATTATTATTACTTAAACTAATTTATTTTTAAAAATACTCAAAGCATCTAAAATTTATTTTGGGTTCATTAAAAACAACTAACCATTTCTGAACATACCAAATATTTTTCATTGTAAGTAAAAACATAAACAAAAAGATGAAAAATAGAAAAATAAAAAACAAAAACTAAAAGGGGACCCAGCTCTTTAGTTGTTTTGAGTATTTTTTTTTTTTTTGAAACAAGCTAATTTGTTTTTGAACATACAAAAATAAAAACATGGAAAAAAAATGCATTGACCAAAAAAAAATATATGCAAGAATCATTTTTTAAAAAAAAAAAAAAAAAAAAGTGATCCCAAACAAGCCTTAATATTTATCTTCAAGATATTGTTAGCCATACAACTTTTCAATGTGCCTACAGATTGCTTTGGACAACAGATACACCAAACTTTTGCTTGGATCCTGTACATCAAAGATGGCACGAGTAATAATATCTGCTACTGTTAAGGTTTGCTAGTTTCGACCCGCTTCATGCTAGCTATAATCTTTTGTTTCAAGTAACTGAAGAAAATTCTTTAATTAACGTCATCTCAGTGGCGTCGAAGCTATTTTATTATAAATAATAGATTTTTATTTTGAGATTATATGGTATATTTCTTCAGGGTCAAGGTTTCTCTTTACCGGCTGATTTGCAATATGTTGATGCAAGGTGGGAAGTGCCCGTTGTGCTTCCACTTCGCGACTGTCTTGCCCAGGAGCTTGCCATGCTTTGTCATCTAGATGGGTAAGATTTTACAAGCTGAGTTTGGGCGAGCTCCAAGCTTGTTTGTCTTTCGTTTATTTGAAAATTTGTTTGTTTGAAATCAGCTCGTGTTTAAAATTTTTCTTGAATAGTATGTTCATTTTCGATTCATTTGAATTCTTCTATTCATGTCTCTCGTGTTGGGCTCATATTTAGCTCAAATTATTTTAAAAACACTAAATTTTATTTTTTTTAGATAAAATATTAAAAAAAATAAAAAAAATAAATGAAAACTCAAGAATCTTTTCACAAAATTTTCATTTATATAATTAATATATAACAACAACAGCAAGCGTTTATCCCACTAAGTGGGGAAAATCGCATCTCTGTCTGTTTGTGTTCAACTCATTTATAAATAGAGCTCAAAATTTCAATTTGTATTCCATTTGCTCATTTAATAACCAATTCGAACACAAACTATTTGCCAACAACGATCTTTTCTGATAGACTGGCTTATATCCCTCAATTTCGACTTCTGATGGTGGTACATTGAAACTGATTATATAGTTTGAAGACAATACAGCTATTCAACCGCCCCTCTGGAATCAATAGCTTGGTATCATCATTTGTTGCACGCCTACAGGTTGTAAAACCTTAGTATAGTACAGGATCTTTATTTTCAGTTTTGAATTCTAGGATAGCTGCACTGATGAAAAATGTTCTTCAATTTGCAGGAAGAAAACCCTTCTCGAGAACGAACGATAGTAAGAACTGGAGAGAAGTTGAAGTCATTCTCCTTTAACAAATTTACGCAGGATGGGTATTATGACTTTCTTCCATCGATTATCCGCTCTAAGTTTCAAAATATTAAATACAAAGAATCAAAGCCTAAAACTTTCTGCCCAATCTGTGGGAGCCCACTGAGTGATTCGGAATGGCAGCATCTCCAAGATGTTGAAGGAATGTGCCAAACTAAAATTGAAATGTTCGCTTCGCAGTGTTGTCGAACTTGTCGTTTTCAGATAATCCCGAAAGATAGAAGCTCTCTTGAGAAGTTCTATTTGCTTTTACCTTCGTTGATAACAAATAGGATTAAGGATCAGGGATGTGCTGACCAGAGTTTGTTAAGGTGAGAAGTTAGAAATATGGCCTGCACATTTTATGTTTAGAAATTTTCTTGCTCATAAATGCTTTATTAATTTATTTGTGCTGTCTTCTCTGCAATCATAGTTTTGTTTACATACCATTTTTATTCTCCTCCCAGTTGTTATAAAACTTAAAATTTTGTTCTTTCAAGTGGTGGAGAGTTTAGAATACTTGACTAAGGAGAACAAAGATTCCAATAGCTGCTTGCTATCTGAGTATATATATAGAGAGAGAGAGAGAGAGATAACTTATGCATTCAATCTAGAATATTCATTTAGCTTTTAGAAGTGCCATAATGAGCATTGTCCTCCCTGGGAGAAATACATTGAATATTGTTTGTCTAATTAAGCATTAATTTTTTTTCATGTCAGGGAGCAGATAGAGGAGTTTCTTATCAACGAAGATGACGATAGCAGATGAAGTGTTAGTTTTACATGGTAATAGTTTTCCATTGTTTTCTCGTTCTTTTCTCTTTTATCTGGTTTAGCTGGGGTGACATTTGAGTGAATTTAATCATAAGCGCAACACATATGGAAAGCCTTGAACCCAAGACCTCTTGGTTTACAATCTAAGGTCTCGATCATCAGACTAAAGGTCCGTTTGGGCCGGCGGTGCGACGCCGCACTGCAATTTTTTTGTTTGGTTAAACTGTGCTTTGTCAGCTTTTTGAAAAAGCTGCCACTAAAATATGTGTTTTCACATTGATCCTTACTAGGTGTTGTGACAATTTTCTAACTGTGTAATTTTCTAACTGTGTTTTGAGTTAACTGTGTTTTGAGTTTTTTTTTTTTTTAAATTGTAATAGCTATCACGACATTTTGAACATCAGATTATTTTTCAGCAGTTTCGCAGCTGTTTTTAAATAAGCTGCATGTCACCTCCCAAAAGAGCTCTTCGGGGTGGTGGGCAGCCCAGGACTTAAATACTGTTTTTCGGCCCTACACCTAGCCGATATGAGACTTATTGTCTGTGATATTTTCCTCCACCCAATCACGTGACGCCCTCGTCACGGATCGGCTCCACCGAAGGTTCTATTGGACCATGGAGAGTCCACATCAGCTAGGTGTAAGGCCGAAAAATAATATTTAAGTCATGGGCTGCCCATCACCCCGAAAAGCTCTTTTGGGAGGTGACAAGCTGCAGCTTCCCAGAAAGACGCCAAGTCACCTTGCATGATCATTCTACTTCAGTTCAACAAAGCGGAGAATATCAATTGAGACATATCTAAAACTACAAGATAGATTCAGCACACACCTATTATAAGTTCTAGTTATTTGTTTTCTTGATCTATTAATGTATTCTTTTATTTCTCTTATTTAATTTTTTATTTATATTGAATGAATGTCAATTATGGTGCAAAATGCAAGGAGTGCGAAGCACTAGTTCAAGTGAAAAGTCAACTGCTGACACCTCACATTTTCTCAGAGTCAACATCTTTACTTGGTGAACAATTCAAGAGCCAAATGGAGCAGCATAAATTGAGCCTTTTATGGAGATCGAGAAAAGCCTTTTGTGTTGCCAAAGATGAAGCTTTTGCAAATTCCAAGGTGCATTATGTGCATTTCATGCAGTATTTCCCATTTGTTATGATGTATTATACCTTTAATGTGGGCTCATA